GGAGTTAACGGTGAAACGGGGGGGAAAACGGAGGAAAAGGGCTCGGACCTCCCCCTGCCCTCCCCACCGCCCCCCTCGGCTGCTGCGATTTCATTGAGGCTGTGTATTGGCCTCGGGAGAGCCGCGCTGGGTAACACCACAACATAAACAGAACATCTGGAAGCTCTTAAAGGGTTTTATTTTTTAACACATTTACAAGAGCCAGGGACACTTTGCAAACTCGGAGACACTGCGCTGCTTCGTTCCCCCAGAGCCGACCGTCAGCCCTTCCCCAGGGGAAGGCGGAGGGGGGGGGCTGCTTGTGCCCCTGCCCAGCGTTTTTGGGGACTTGGCATCTCGGCCGGGAGGTGCCAATCTTGCTCGCATGTTCCTTGCGAGGTCCAAAGCAAACAGACGATAAGTGCTGCGTGATAAGCGAGCAGAAACCTCTACCCTTCTTTCTGGGCACCCCTGGTTCATGTTGGAGTGGGATGGGGGCTTGGGCAGGGTTTGCCTGATGGAAAAGCTGCTTAATGGTTTTGGGGAGGGAACGGGGAGAAGCAGAGGGGGCAGCAAATGGTGATTAAGTTCCCCAAGTGGGCCAAGAGCGTGTCTGAGCCAAATGGGAGCTGGCTGAAACACACTTAGCAGTGGGGTTTGGGTCCTCAAGCACGGTGCAGCTGATCCGAGAGACCTGTAGGTGGGCAGCCCGTGGACAGGGGGGCCAAACGAGCCCCATCTCCATGCTGGTGGCAGCATTTGTTGTTGGACTGTTATCTATCTCCATCTAAAGGGCTGCAGCCTCCCTGGCCTCCTCAAGAAGCTGCTCCTGCCGGCCCCGTGCAGCGCTGCAGCACGATATCAGCCCCTGGCACACAAGCACAGGGAGCTGCTTTCCCTCCCTGTGCGCCCCCGGTGCCGTGGCTTTGTCTGCCCCATGGAAATAACCATTTGATTTCCTTCCATCAGCCCCCGGCTGTCTCCTACCCACCCTTGTGCTGCCCGTGGCTGTTGGGGCTGCAGCGGGTGCGTGCTGGCCATGGGGATCCGGGTGCAGGGAGGGCTCCAGCCTCGGCAGCTGCCGAATTTTGGGTGCGATGCCAAAGGTGGCTTTTCAGAGCGGCTCTCTGAGGGGCTGCAGGGTGTCTCCCCTTCTGTCCATCCCTGCAAAGACTTAATTTGGTGACAAAGAGGGATCACGATGTGCTTCGTCATGCCCATCCATTATTCCTCCCACTAACCCTGTGGTTTTCCTTCGCAGGGTCGGTGGTGGAGGCTGCGGGCACCTGAGAGGGGAGCCACAGGGACCGCGGCCACCCAGCTGAGGATGGATGCTTCAACTGCGAGCACGGAGGGAGGAAAAGCAGAGGCAGCACAACACGTCTGGCACCCAGCAGGGGAGCAGGGTGCACCCGGGGCCGTGGCGAGCTCCTGCACCCAGCACCGACCATGGGAACAGCCCCGGCGCAGCCACCCAGCGTGCGCTCACCGTGACTCACGTCCCCGCTTGGCGAGGGGTCCTCCCGCACTGACCTCGCTCCGCTGGCTCCCACGCAGGGCAGAGATGACTGAATTACAGCTCCCCGCTGGGCTCTGCAAATTCTCCTCTTGGCCGGGTGGCTTCCAGGCCGGATACGTGGGGCTGGATGGCTGAGTGCGCTCAGGTCACACAGTAGCTCCACATTTTCCCCTGCGAAGGACCAAGCGCTTGCCCGGTTCCAAGGAAGCAGCTGTGGAATTTTATTTTATTTTATTTTTGTACCCCTCTGCTCTTCTTTCTGACTCTTTTCGTGGTCTGGGGCTTTTCACGAGGATGGTTGGACCCAGCCCGCAGCACCGAGTGCGGTCTCCTGCAGAGGGATGAAAGCCTCCAGAGGAGCCGCACGCCAGGACCGAGTTGGCAGCCTCAGTGCTGTGGGTTTGAAACTGTCCGGAAGATTGTCCCCTCGTGTCACCAGCATTGCACGGCCGTGTGTCACCCATGGGGGTGCCCACCCGGTGCAGTGCAGGAGGCGCCGGCTACCCCCGGGGCTGAGCATCCTCATCCCCGCCACATCCCCCATGGGACGAGGAGGGGCTGGGGGGCACGGGGCCAAGCCGCAGCGAGGGGAATGTCGAGAGAAAAAATGTCACCCCCCCCCGCCCCAGAAACAATTAAATGGCTTAATAAAACCCTTTGCCTCTCTGAGTGCTCGCTGTTCCTTTCCGTTTGCCTTGGCTCAGGCACACTTACATCATGGCCCTATCGCGGGGCTGCCGAGCGGCCGGGTTTGATTGCACAGGAAACCGGCGCTTTGGCAAAGTGCTCTGCCCTGGAGAAGCCAGGCCAAGAGTTTCGTGTCTTTGCTTTGCAGAAAAAATTCTTCCCCGTCCTTTCCCTCTTTCCTTTCTGCAGCCTTCAACCATCGCCCCCCGACCAGGCGGGCCACCCCTCGCACGCCTCCTGCTCCAAAGGTGCCCGCGACGCAAATTAATTCCCCTTGCATCATGTTCTTTCTTGTCCGTGGACTGTGTGTTCCCTCCTGCCCCGGAGAGCTGATGTGAAGCACTGGAAGGTGCCGTGTGGAAATGTAACATAAAAAGGGTATTTATGTAATGGAAACCTCCTTTGATTTCCTTTTTTTTTTTATTTTTAAGAGTTATGTCTTCATTATATAAAAAAAGATGCCCTTTCATCTCAAAAGCACAGTAGCCCCAGGCGCGTGTGTAAATGCGTTTGGTGTTGGGCTGCGCTGGGGAGATAAATATTTTAATTAATAATTTATCCAGATTTTCCTCCTGGTGCCGACCTCGAGCTGGCTGCTGTAGCTGGGGGGTCTCTGCCTCCCTCTGCGCCCCAGGGACAAAGGTGCAGAAACCTGGGTAGAAACACGCAGCCTTGGGTCCTCTGAAACCAGCACCCGGCTCCGAAACACCTCGGAGAGGTTTAAGAACTGCGTGATGCCCTCGGGGAACACGAGGAGAGAACAGCAAAAGGCAGAGATGCAGGGAAACGCTTGGCGTTTGGTTTGGTGACGATGGGGAAATGGCGATGGCAAATCCATTTGCATCAGGTGAAATGTCCCCAAAGGTGCAGGTGAGAGGTAGGTGGCCAAGGCGGTGCTCAGCCCTTTTTTCTGCTGCTCTGCCCCTCAAAATTTCTCCTCCTGGGGAGACGAGGCCGTGCCCCAGGTGGCAGCGAGCCCAGGGCAAATTGTTGGATTCCCACCCACGGGGCAAACCTGGATTTTTGTGCTTGCTCCGAGAGCCGTTGTCTCAGCTTGCTGGGGGGTTGTAACTGTTCCTCGCCTGCTAAAAACAGCCTGGGTTGTTGGTGGAGACACCTCAAAAAATGGGCTCAGCGCCCAGTGGTTGCACTAGAAGTGCCAGAAGCGATGCTGGCTGGCATTACACTGCCATGAGCAGGATTTCCTGGCCTCAGCACGGGTCAAACCCCTGCTGTAGGCTGCGTGTGAATCACCAAAACGTCCATATGGCCGAGCTGAGGGGCAAAGAGGCTGAATTCCCACAGGGAAGGCAGAGAAAACCCCAACCCCGTGCGCCCCGGGGATGCCGTGGCCAATGCTCATGACACCCCTGGTTGGAAAGAGCCGTGCCCAGGGGACAGCCACCAGGTGACTGCATTTCCCTGCAGTGGGATGCAAATGATTTGGGGAAATCCGCTTGTGGGATCCTTTGGCAGAGCCCTTCCCTGCCAAGGCTGCCCCCCTGCTGATCCCAGCCCGCTCCAAGCCGCCGATGGGCGCGGGTACTGGGAGGGGGGGCTCAGCGCCCGGGCACGGACCTTGCCGAGCTCATAACCAATATTGACTTCAAAGGCTGTTTGCCTTCAGCGGCGGTCAGTCGTGTAATTCCAGCTTGTTTAGAGACGGCGAGCAAACAGAGAGCCAGGCCGTTAAAAAGGGGAAGGGTGTGGGAGCTGCGGTGCTATTTACCCGTGGAACCAGCAGGAAAACCTGCCTGTCATCCGCGCGAATAAATACAAACTGGAAGCATGGATAAACCCGCGGGGATTTATTAGTTTGCTTTTACCAAAGGCAAATATTCAGGCGAGCTGGCTCGGCCCAGGGGCTGCCTTTTGCCTTTTGTGTGCTGCAGAGCCTGGCGCCTACGGGCGCTGATAAGGGCGTGCGCTGCGCCGAGCCAGCCCCGCTCAAGGGGGCTCTTTGGGAATGTTTCTGTCTCCCTTTTGCTTAGATCTGATCCTACGAGGGGCTGGGCGCCTGCTGGGGTCCCTGGGTGTGCCAGCCTCGAGCAGCGTGAGGGTGCTGTAGGTCCAGCCCAGAGCTGGCAGCAGCCCCCTGAGCTTCTTTTCCCCAATGGCACCGTCCTGCCCTATCCAAGAGGCTCTCCATCCTTCTGCTTGGAAAAAAACAGGAGCAGAATCCAACGGGGACACAGAAGGCTCGGGGGCAGCGTGTGGTCAATCAATACCGTGCTTTGGTTTGAATAAATACGAGGTTAGAAGTCACGAGCCACTGCAGGTAGGAGGAGGGGAGGCCGCCCCTCACTCCCCCTATTTGCATTTTTCCATCCCTGTCTCTGCCCCACTTCAGCTGTCCCCGCAGCATCTGGTGCGTGTTTCCAGGCGCTTCGAGATGCTCTTCGAGCTGTGAGTTTTCCTCCAGGCCTCGTAAAACCCATCTGCTCGAGCTGCCGGCCGGCTCGGGGGAATTTCCAGGCCCTGCTCTGGTGCTGATGGCACGCGGGTTTGGAGGCTGTGCCCACGGGGTTTGGGCAGCCCCAGTGGCTGGGCTTTGCTGGAGATGCGTTTTCCCTTCTATAACTATTTTTTTATGTGTTAAAGAGGGCACACATGTTACCTCCCTATGAGAAAATGAGGCTTTAAAGGCCAGATCTGATTTAATTTAATCTAAATTAAAGGGGAACTCAATCTGGGTTTCTCCTGTCTTTCCTCCCATGTGTTATTTGGGACTTCTTCCTCTGGGCTCCTCCACATGCAACCATTTGTCTCGTGAACAAGAGCAGACAATTGCAATTTTTAAAGGAACAAACCAAGTGAGCAAACCCAGCATTGCCCATACCTCACCCCCATGGAGGCACTGATGCTCTCCATCAGCCAGCACAGCTTTGAAGCTTGTTTTTGGAGAAGAAGCTGCTCTCTGGGCTCTTCTGGCTGGTGAGTTGGTTGAACTTGTTATTTTTTTTCTCTGAAAATCCTGGATTTTGCTGTTAGCTGCCCTGTAAGTGGAAGAGGGACGTGGTTAGCTTCAGCTCCTTGCTGCTGCTGGGAGAAAGGGCAGTGGGGAGCACACCACAGAGCACAAAGTGGGTTAAGCTTGGTCCGGAGCTATCCAAAAGGTGGGATTTGTGTGTAAATCTGGGGACCTTGGTCTTGCCATGCTGGATTTTTCCCTACCATCCTCAGAGGGAAAGCTCTGTTGTAGCTGTGTCAGGAGGGGGTCTTGTGTCCCCTTGCCACCGTTGCGCAAAAGCTTAAAAAGTTGGGTTTAACTTCCAATTGCAGGCTCTTATTTAGTAAAACCACAAAAATAAAAAGCTGCATGGTAATTTTCATTGCACATGAGAAGGGTGAAGAAGGCTTTTGAGTTTTTTTTTAAGTTCTTGGGTCTTTGAAGGCCAAGTGGGAGAATTGTGGAGAAATGTAAAAGCTCTTGGAGACAGGGGCTCTCAGCTGTGCACACCCAGCACCAGGTATGCTGGGTGCCTACAGAGCTCCCTGTGGCCATGGTGTGCAAATGATTGTGATTAACAAGAATATTTATTATTGCCAAGTAAATTTGAGCCAAGTTCTAGCTGCAAACGTTTCTGTGGAGCAGTGCCTTTGGTCCCTGCAAGGTGCCTTTTAGGGCTGGGTTGCGGAGAGTTTTTTCCCTTGTTTAATCCTTCCAGTAGCGAGGCACACCCTTGAGCAAGGCTCAGCACCTGGGGGGGGATTTTTGCCCTCCTGTCAACCCCCCCCCCAGCTTTCTGAGCCTTTTTCAGAGCCTCCCTGCAGGTGCTCCTGATTTTGGCACCAATTACCTGCTCTGTGCTGGGGCTGCGCAACCACAGCTTGGTGCGGGGACCCTGAGCTCCTTCTGCTGTGCTAGGAGGTGGTGTCGGGGTGGGAGGGTGAGGTTGAGCCTCTCGGGTTGTTGCGTGGTTTTCTGGGCTCCTGGACTTGCCTGAGGTCTGCGTAAGCCTCAGATAAGCAGGGCTGGGGTTGCATGCCTCAGCTATCGCCTCGGTGCGATGTTGCCAAGGGATTTAGCGAGCGAGGAGGGCTGAACCCGGGAACGAAATAGCTGGTTATTGTTTTTTTTTGCTCTTCAGACAACACAGCTGAGCAAATCCAAGCCTGCTGTCTGTTCATTAAGGGCCTAATCCTCTGTTTTCCCCTGGAAAAATCCTTTCCAGGAATCCCAAGATTCCCTAAGTGGGACCAAGCTTAGGAAATGGGGGCAGATAGGTGTCCTTCCCGTTACATCGGGCATTTCTCAGCTGTTTCTTCAACTCTTCCCCTTCTCCCTTGTCCACCGAGGCTTCCTACATCTCTCCTACTTTCTGCATAGGAACCCATTAGGGGAGGTGCCTGGTCCCTTGAGAGCAATGGTTTGCACTGGTGTCCTGCCAGGGACATGCTGGTGTTTCAGCTGTCCCTTGGGCACATCTCTCACCTCTGCCTTGCCCATGGCTTTCTTGAAACCTGTAATATATTTATCAAACTAGGAGGTGGTGTGGGCTGGAAACTGGGCTGCTAAAGGTCCCTGCCCTGGCTGAAAAGGGCTGAGTGGGGAAGGGGAAGGGTGCTCTGCTCCCTCTCACCTCCCAGCACAATTTGGTGGCACTTGCAGCATCCTCTCCCCCATCACCTCAGAAAATAATCAGTACGGGCAGGCTGCAGCATTGCTGTGGGGATGCCCCTCATTCATTTTAATCCTAACATGCTTTCCTAGGGAGATGCTCCCTGGTTGTGTTTTTAATTGTAACACCTACTGGGTTTTTGAGCCCGTGTGTGGGCTGTGGAGCTGGCCCCATGGGCTGAAGCAGAGGATCAGGGGGTGCAAACTGGGATAGGGCTGAGGATGTGATCCCCTCCAGGATGCTGCAGGGACTGCAGCCCTCGCCCTGCAGCTGAGGATGCAGCCTGGCTTTGGCTGTCCCCCTGGTTGGGATGGGGATGCTTTGGGAGCATCCTTCATAAAGTTCACGTGGGGACTCAGTGCACGCTGCCGTGCATCCCCCAAATCCCTTCTGCAGAGGCAGCAGCAGCATCGGGGCGCCTCCAGCCCCAATCCCGCAGGAATGTCGATTAGCCCCAAAGCTGCTTGGTAGCAAATTCTCCAAGCTAAGCTCGTTTTCCCCCCCCTGCTCTAAGCCTTCGTGTTTCTGTTGCCTTGAAGGAGAGGAAATTCTCCTGCTGGAAATACCTCCCTCTGCTCGCTTCTGGCAACCAGAAGTCAAACCTTCCCATCAGGACAGGACAGAGCAGCCCTCAGGTCCCTGCTCCCCCCTGCTCACACTGCAGGTTGGTGCCTGTAATGGCAAAACCCTCCTGGAGCATGGTCTGATGTCCCCCCCTCCCCTCCCCTTTAAATTAACGTGCCAGCCGTGTCTCGCCCTAATTAAAACCAGCAAAGAGGGGGCTGGACCGGGACGTAGGTTTGGAGGCTGTAAAATTCTAGGACAGTTTTATGTAGAGCAATTAAAAGGGAGGTAAAAAAAAAATTGTTAAGAAATTAAACACTAATTACTTTTTTTTGCCAGCTGAACTGTTCTGGCAGTGGGGCTGGAAGTGGGATGCAGAGACCTGGGAAGGTCGGTTCTCTGCTGCCATAAATCAAATTGATCAAATGTTCCCCTGCCTTCTTGCAGTGTAACTCATCTGCTGTCAATTAGCCGAAATCACATTTTTTCAATTAAAGGGGCTTAGAGGCCTGATAGCGAGCTCGGGTGGGGAGGGGGGGGGAGGGAAAGGCAAAGCCTGGCTGCGGGCAGCGAGGTGGAAATATCTTTTTTAAAAGGTGTGATCCCATTTTAGTGCTTTCCATATAAAACGCGATATTATCGTCTGCGCTGGGGGGGAGAAGCAAGAGCTGGAAACCCAGCGAGGGGGGAGCGGCGTGGGCAGAGCCGTGGTGGCCCCAGGGACCAGGTGGGACAATCCTGGCAGGCAGAAAGGGGAAGGGATGACTGCGTGAAAACTTCGGGATGAATTTGGGATAGCTTCTTAAACCCCTCTCTTAATTCCCCGAAGGAGGGTGGAGGTGTGCGAGCTCGCTGCTGGGCGAAGAGGCTGCCCGTGGGGCTGTGGGGTGGCTCGGTTGTGCTCGAGGGAAGGTGGAATTACCCCATCGTCTGCCTGCACCCGGTGATGGGAATAGGTGGCTTGCGTAACGAGCGGCATAATTTGTCTTGGATGCTGGGGTAAAAACCACCGTTTCCTCTCCCTGTGTCTGGTCTTGCTCCCTGCACGTTTTCGTTCCCGGTCGGAGAAGGAAAACAGGCTGGGAAGAATTTGGGAAGGCCACGAGGAAGGGCAGGACTTGGAGCAAGCAGCTCCTTTAGACCTGCATCCACCCTCGGCATTCAAAATCTCCTCCCAGGCTGGGAAGAAAGGAAGAAGCTGGAGTGGAAGCGGTGGTCCCATCCCACAGCCTCTCCCTGCACCAGGGCAGGATGCGTGCTGGGGTCCTCCTGAAGCCCCCCCATGGCATCATCCCCTAAATGCCAGCGCTCCACCACCCCCCGCTGCAAAAAGGGCCTCCCAGCGCTGCCAACAAGCCCCTGCAGGTTACCCTGTTGGGAAAACCAGACTCATTTATTAATATACATAACGTTAATTGCTGTAATTGGAAGGCTGGCTTCCCCCTCCTGGGGGTGTGGGTGTGTGCCGCGGTGTGGAAACGCGCAGAGGAATGCGAGGGGAGAGAATTGCTCCGGCGGTGGTGATGGTGACGACTGGTTTGTGTTGTGTTTGGGTGCGTGCGCCCAAAGAGCAAGGAGAAAACCAAACATCTCTCCCAGTCCCAGCCTCATTGCAGGCTAAAAATACAGCCAAATGGGTATTTAAATGCTAATAGGTGTGACTTCCAACCACCACCTCCGCAGGCAAACCTGGTGATTCAGAGCACGCTTTGTTCCCCCGAGCACTGGAGCTGCCCTCTGCAGCCTGGTGCCCAAAGGACTGGGGACAGCAGCCACCAAAGGAGGTGGAGGAGTTGGGTCCAAGGTGACCTTTGAGGCTCTGAGCATGGTTAGAGGGAAGGAAGAGACTGAGCTCTCAGTTTGCAGCAGAACTTGGGTTTTTTGGCCCCTCCAGGAGGTTATGGGATGGGGCAGGGCTGGTCTTGCTGCTCCTGCAATGCGCCGTCTCCATCCTGCAGGAGCTGTTGGCCATGTGGAGGTGCAACAAGTCCAGGGCTCTGCTGGAGAGAAGCTGGGCAGCAGGGTTGTGGCTCTTGGAGGTCCTGGGGGGGCTTTGTTTCAGCCCAGGAAAGAAAAAAAAATAAAATATGGTCATATGGTAGTGCTGTCAGCCTGGTTTGGGGCTGCAAGGGGTTTGGGGCTGTGCCTGGGAGGTGTCCTCGCCAGGGTCTGCCCTTCCAGCTCTCCTGCCCTGTCCCCAGGTTTGCTTTGGAAAAGCGGTGCCGGTGGTTTCTGGAACGCGCTCCATCTAACCCGCCATCAGAAAACAACAAACCCCAACCCGTAATTGCCTTTGGTCTTGAGCAATTTGAGCTGGGTGTGAATTGGCTGCGTGCGGCTTGAGAAGAGCTCTGGGCTGCGCGGCCTCGAGCTGTGCAGGGGTGGCACTGCTGCTCTCGGGGGGGGGAGAAATAAGAGAAATGAGAGGATGGGGAACTCAAACCAGGACCCCTGCTTTTGCTCTGCAGCTCCCCTTCACCAGCATGCGTTACCCTGTGTCCCAAAACAAGCTCAGGGCTCTGCAGGCACCAGACCTGGGGTGAATCCCTGCCTTGGCAATCGCTGCTGCTGCTGTGGGTGGACGGTGCCACGAGTCCCGGCCCCAGCTGGGTGTTTTTAGCGCCTGTGGAGGATTATTAGAAGTGGAGAATTAAGCACTGCATTTCCTGATTTCTCTCCTGTCAGCAGTCCTGTGTGATGCTAGCGACCCTTCCCCCTGCCTTAGCTCTACCCAGTCATTAAGAATTC